CATGCCATCTCCGAGAGCATGAGAGAAGTAAATTTTCGGAAATAGCAAAACGACGTTGGGAGCTAACATAGGACACAGTGAATTCACAACATTTATAATCAGTCTGAAAAAATAAAATTTATTTTTGAAGTTACACTAATATAGACTTGGAAGAGAAATAGAGATACATATTTTAAATTGAATAATACTCATTTTTTAATAAGTAATGTCTTTTCTACCTTTGAAAAATAGTATTTGTCAGAGAAGGAAGTTTCTTTTCTTATATATACACGCGTATTAAATTCAGCGACAATTCTGAATGAGCATTTTTACCTCTTTCATTTAAGGCGACAGAATATTAGAAATGACATGAACATTAACACGGGTATAATTTGCAAATGAAATATTTTCTGCAATATGAAAGGAATAGGTCTATTAACAGCATCTTTGAAATTAACAACATCTTTGAAAGATTCTATAATTCTATGATTCCAGGAAACAGGAACCCATCTGCAGAACGCTGCAGCTAAATTGTTTCGTTTCAAAGAAAACAAAATAATTTTCACACTTCCGTGCCGCTCATGCGCGTCATTCATCGAAAATAAAACCTTAAAAATCCTGTCTAAACGTCATTTACGCCACAAGAGAAAATGATTTCATCGGTTAGTATATCCAGTTACAAGTATGGAATTTTCCCTATGCACGTGCGCAGTACAGAATGCTTATACGGCCGGGACGTAGCAAAATAGGCTTAAAGCAACGACATATGCAGAATACAAAACACGCTTTACTGAGATGTTCCGAGCTCTTCTACGGAAGCGACTGAACTTCCCATTAAATAATGGTTCTGCCTCATTTACATAAGACACGAAGCTAAAAACTCACTCTGGCAGGAGGTAGGAGGTAGGAAACAAGAGAATAAAGGAAAAGGTTTCAAAATTAAAAATAACTCTAATGAAATTAAAACAATCCCTACATCATGTTTACAGTTTTTGGTCCTATGAATTGCGATTTATAATGCGATGATAGTGTTTAGACCTGATTTTTAGCCAACGAATGAATTAATTTTTACTTTATCGTCCAGTTTGTTTGATGAAAACTAAACCATCTTTTAATGAAAATCGTGTAATTTATTGAAATGCAGGAATGAAAATTTAATATTCTATTCAAAAGGGGAGCAAAACAACATAGGTGTTTCTTATAGAGATGTAAATGTGTAATAGTTTTTCCTCAGAAAGAAAAATATATATATATGTAACAGACCTATTTAAGTGTAATTGAACTATTTTATTCATGCCATGAACTCATGAATTGTAACCGAACTATTTTATTTAAACGCCATCTCGTGGCGATATGAAAAAAAACGTCAGTCGACCTCCAGCCGCCATGATGATAGCATACTATGTTATGTTATTCTCAATGTTTGATGTTCCATTTCGTTTATGTTTCATTTTTATATATATTTCTTTTGTTTGTAACCGTTCCTGTGTGCTCTGTTAATAAATCCTTTTAAAGCTAGCCGGCATTAGTGTCTATTGAGGAACGGCTACATCACATATATAAATTTTTATCAATAACATTTAATAATTTAACGCTTTTTTAATAGTACCCTGTATCAGACTGTATGATTGCCTATATTGGAATATTTTAAAACTCCTTCTGAACTGGTAGCGAAATTATAATTGCCAAAGGAGTTACCTAAGCTGATCTTGGTAATTATAACTTATTCAAGTTTATCTACATATCTTGGTGAAAAAGTACTGGAACGAACATGTGTATTTTGAGTATTTGAACAAAATATTTTAAAAATTAGCTCCAACTCCAGACACAATAAAGAAGAGAGTACTTGAACACTTTTTCGTGAGAGTTCTGAATTTACGGATATAAAATACAGTAGACTCCCGATTATCCGCGGGCGGATTATGCGCGGAACGGATTATCCGCGCCTGCTGCACAAAGTGTTTTTTTTTTTCCTTTCTTTTTACAAGCGTAAAGCAAAGAAAATAAAAATGTTCACAAAACTGAGCGAAACGTTAAATTTGCTAAACATCGTGCTTATTTATGGCAAAAATATCAGAGGCCTTCTCGGAACCTTCCCCTCTGATGAGTAAGTGATTTCTTGTTCATCCTTGCAGTGCCCGCTCCACCTCCCTCTCTCGTCTTAATCTTACTGACACGTTCACTTTCTTCCTACTCACCGTTGTTAGTTTAAGCCTGATAGTGTTTGCAAACCGGTCGGAGTTAATTTCTTATCTTTTATTGTGTTCAGTGCTTGTACTTTTTGGTTTTGTGTTTTTCGTTACCGATTTAAAATGTCAGGAAAACGAAAGAAGGTTGTGTTAACGATTGCGCAAAGGCATTGACAGAGTGGTTAGCTCAAGTTCGTTCTTTGCGGCGAAGGCAAAAACCTTTTTTGAGTTGTTAGGCCTGAAAGGAAATTTTGATGCGTCTTTTGGCTGGTTGACTTTAAGCAGCGAGAAATAAGTTCGAGAAATTGGACTTCATGGGGAGAAACTTAGTGGAGACCAACAAGCAGCCGACGATTTCCACCATGAATTTGAAGAATTTGTTTTAAAAGAAGAGCTACCTTTTGAACAAATTTACAATGCCGACGAATCGGGACTTTTGTGAGAATGTCTTCCCACTCCCACTTTAGCATCTGAAAGTGAAGGTAAAGCGGCGGGTCCTAAAAGCAGCAAGGAAAGGATCACTATCATGTCTTGCAGTAACGCCACCGGTGGACATAAACTTAGACTTGTTGTCATTGGAAAGTAAAAAAAAAAAAAACCGAGATCTTTCAAAAGCACAAGGATAGAAAATTTGGTTCGAAAAAATCTTTGTTCTTCAAGTGCGTAAACATCTTAAATCGAAAAACCTGCCTGATAAAGCTGTGCTATTGATCGTCAACGCACCTTCTCACCCAGCAACAAGCGTGCCAAAGTCTTCTGATGGACAAATTTTTGCAAAGTTTCTCCCTTTCTACCCCCAAACGTTACTGCGCTAATCCAACCCATGGACCAAGGAGTCATTGCAACAATGAAGAGAACATACCGAACCAAGCTGCTAATGACCAAAATTGAAGAAGGTTATGATCTGAAAGAGTTTTGGAAATACTACACAATCTTGAACAGCATTTACGATATTGCATCTTAATGGGACTCAGTAAAACCGTCAACCCTCATAAAATCATGGAGAAAACTCATGCCTAATGTTGAAGCCAACAACAACCTAACCCCTTTGAATTGTGAAGAAGAGAATGAAGATGTAGACACGCCCACGGCAACTCGATATGGTGAACCACGATATGGTGAAAACAGTTCCGGGTGATGAGAGCGTCGATGCTGAAAACATTAAGTGTGACGTCAACGAACCTGGCTTCGAACGCTTGACAGATGATGAAATTGTGAAGAAAGCAAGGGAAGAGATCGAGAATGAAGGAGAGCGAAGTGAAGACGAAGAAGAGCCCACTGTGCAGATGCGGAAGACTCACGAAGCGGCTTTGCAATAAGTCGACGGACTGCTGAGCTATTTAGAAGAACAAGACAACGCGGAGTTGGCCGAGAAACTTATGCTACGAAAAATGCAATCTCGGATCAAGAGAAAATGCATCCAAAGCAAGAAGCAAACACAAATGACTGATTTTTTCTAAAAGGTGTAGTTTTACAGTTATGCTTTCGTAATTACATAATACATTACAGTATTAAAACAGTACATATGTTTTAATTTTTCTGTATCCTCGACGCCTCTCGTAAGTACAAAGCACTTTTCTGTTTTCATTAACAAAATGCATTTTAGGTTAGTTTTGAGTGATATACTAAAATATTAAGCGTTAGTTAAACATTTCCTGCTGTTTATTTTACGTTTTATTGTACATAAAACGATTTTTCAAAGTTGGAATGACTGTTTTCTCTTTTGCTATACCCGTTTTTAGCTTTTTTCGGATTATCCGCGATTTTTGTTATCCGCGGCGGCCGCGCCAACCAATTCTGCGGATAATCGGGAGTGTATTGTATAAAAAAATTTTTTTTAAGTTAAAGATAAAATGTATGATTGTTGAGAAAAGAAAGCGGCCGCAAGTATTACAAGACTTTGCAAACTGTATTTTGAATTTTGTGCCCCCTCCAAAAAAATTCTGAAAGGTTTTAGATTATAAAGTGCATCCAAAGGGGCGATTTTGTGTGTTACCTTTATTTATTAAATATCATGTTCTTTGCAGTTGAACCATGAAATTCAGTTTAAGAGCAATATCGCGAAATAATTTTAAAATGAGCTTATCTTTAGAATTCCCAATACACAGTCTCGCGCTCTGGAGATAAAAATATTTTTTCTGTACAGCGTTGCCATCGTTCGCTTTGAAATCCTTGAGTTTGTTAATCAAAAATTCGTCAAGGTTTTCAAAAAATGAAATCGATAACAAAACAAATTCCAAATTTGGGCTTCCAGATGCCCATACTAGCAGGAGGTTTACGTTATTCAAAATTCGATGGCTTTAAGTACCGTTGTTTTATCACAATCCGAGAAAAATGCATACATTTATGCAGATTCTTCATCATTTAATTTCTTTAAATATAATACAGGGCGATAATATTTGGTGGCAACATTTTGAAAGTGAAACAACGCTTGTAGTAAATCAAAGCAAAATGCCAAAACGAAGTTAATAATTCTGGGCAAATTGCCCCTTTGGACTATAAATACGACGAATTTGGATCTTTTTCATTTCTCTCTGCAATTGTATATAATTCCTCTGATAAATGCTTTTGATGCCAATAATTAAGTTCTCTTTCCACCCTTCTGTGACAATGTCAAAAGAAACATCAACTATTACCTCTCATTGCGCCAATAGTGGACACCTTGAAAAACCTGTCTGAATAAAAAAAAAAAAAACACTGTAACAAAAAGGAACAAACAAAAGAAAAGCATAAAATAGAAATCGCCGCTTTTTTGTTTTTTAATATCCTGTCGAATAAATTTCCGTTCTTACTTGACTGACCGTCACGTGCTTTCTTCAAATAATCAGTGAGCTCCGAACGACGCATGAACCACTAATCTCGAAGCGGGTTATTTTCTGAAACCTTTTCGCAGGATGGCTCCGTGTAATTTTCCCTCCGTCATATTCTTTTGCTTCACAGTTTTGTGGGCAACTTCGAAAGCAGCCTTGCCTATAGAACAAGCGACTCGATCTAAAGGACAAGATGATTGTAATATCAAAAGCGCCATTTGCAGGATGCATAACAGAACAGTATCAGGAGCGATTACTTTGAAATATCAAGTGAGTTATTTATTTTTATAAATTAGTTTCAAAACTGGGGAAAAAGAAAAAAGAAAGAAAGCATTGGACATGTTTGTAACCATGAAGTGGCAGATCCGCTAAACAGAAAAGATAAATAAAAAACAAAAATAAAAAAAATCTGAATGCCTTCAGATTTTACATTATGCGCAGAGGGGCGTTTTTTTAACGTTTTGTGTGTTACGTTTATTTATTAAATAACATGTTCTTCGCACTTAAACTATAAAATTCAATGCAACAACAATATCGCAAAAATTTTGAAATGAGCATTTGCTATACACAATCTCGCGCACTAGAGATAAAAGTGTTCTTTTTTAGTCCAAAGGGATTTGAATCCCGAAGGACTATTAGTTTCGTTTTGGCATTTTGCGTCGGACGGATAAATGTCGGTTCACTTTTCAAACTGTTGCCATAAAATGTTAGAGTCCTGCATTATATTTGAAGAAATTAAATAATGAAAATCTGCGTAAATGTATGTATATTTCTCACATTGTCATAAAATAACGGTACATAGTGTCATCGAATTTTGAATAACGTAATCCTCCAACGAATATGAGCATGTGGAAGACCAAATTTGAAATTTGAAATTTGTTTTATGATCGATTTCCTATTTTTTAAAACTTTGACGAATTTTTGATTAACAAACTCAAGGATTTCAAAGCGAGCAATGGCAACGTTGTGCAGAAAAAAAACATTTTATCTCCAGCGCGTGAGTCTCTGTATCGGAAATTCTAAAGATATGCTCGTTTTAAAACTATTTTGCGATATTGCTGTTGCACTGGATCTTATGGTTTAAGTGCGAGGAACATGATATTTAATAAAGAAAGGTAACATACAAAATGTTAAAAAACGCCCCATTTGGACGTAATTTAAAATCTGAAAACATTTCAGATTTTTTTTTTTTCGTACAGTGTTACTGCTCGCTTTGAAATCGTTAAGTGTGTTAATCAAAAATTCGTTAAAGTGTTACAAAATATGAAGTCAATAATAAAACAAATTTTAAATTCTAAATTAGGGCAGATGTCCATATTCGGTGGAAAATTACGTTATTCAAAATTTGATGGCTCTAGATATCGTTCTTTTATAACAACGCTCGCTTTGAAATCGTTGAATTTCTTAATAAAAATTTTTTTAATGTCTGACAAAATATGAAATAGATAATAAAACAAATTCCAAATTACGGCTTCCAGATGCCTATATTCGCTGGAGCATTACGTTTTCAAAATTGGATGGCTCTAGGTACCGTTGTTTTATCACAATGCGAGAAACATACATACATTTATGTAGATTCTTCATTATTTAATTTCTTTAAATATAATACAGGGCTATAATAGTTGGTGGCAACAGTTTGAACAGTGAATCAACGCAGGAAGTGAATCGACACAAAATGCCGAAACGAAATTAATAGACCTTCTGTGAAAAAAAAAAAAAAAAAAAAAAAAAAAAAAAAAAAAAAAGTACTTTATGTCTTAAAATTCTTAAAATTATGGATTACAATGTCTGAGATTTTACATATTAAAGAAGCGCAAAAAACTGACATTTATATCTGTTTTGTAACTGTACATTAGTCTGGTCTCTAAAGGATTATATTCATCACATGAAACTTATTTTTATCTATCCATTTATGTATTCCTGTTGTTTCAATCAGAAAAACAGATAATGATACTTGCTAGTGGCTTTGTAGGAAAAGCTTCTAAACACTGTTTTTCAATTTGTTCAAGGTTCGGCAGCAGAACGAGCTGATTCCATGAAAATTTCATTAGTTTGACACAAATGCATATAAGGTATTTCTCCCACCTTCTTGGCGTGCCTTTGTGGTGTGGTGGTCTGCACGCTGAGCCGGTATTTCAGAGGTCCGTTGTTCGATTCCAGGCGAAGGAGATTGCAAATTTTTCACCTTGCCTGCTTCCAAAAATCACATAATGTTTCTACAAGCGTTTTAGTTTTTGAATGAAAATTCTCATCAAAGGCTTCCATTTCTGTAGTTAATTTATGCCCTTAAAAATGGTCTGTTCATTCGGAACGAAGTAAATATACCATACATAACATTTTCATATATTATTCTTATGTTTTTATTATTTATTGAGATATGCAGCTTATCGTAATTTGTGAACCATTATATATGCTAATATATATAGTTAGAGGCTATGCTGGTGTGATAAAGATATGAGCCTCACCTTAAATTGTAGATTTAAATAAAAATATTTTGCACGTACTTACAATTAAATGTATTTTTTTTATCATAAATTAATAATTATAAACATTTAATGCATTATATATTAGCAAAGCTAATTATTCGATGTTGTTTCCCTATGTTATTATATTATTATATTGCTCCGTTTGTAAGAAAATATGGCTAATATTCACTTCTAGGCTGTATACTTATTGTTCATTTTTCGTGAAATATTAGTGTCTTCAGAACAACTGATTCATTGCAGTGGCTTTGATATGTTATCACCGCATTGTTCACTTCTTTTTCGTGCATTAATAATTAGATGTTTATGTTTATTAGAAGGGAATTGTCTCATATTTCACAGAAAACAAATCATGCAAACTTTCATTTTACAAACATTCTAGACAACCGATTTTGTAAAATTGAAGCAAGTTATTCAATTTTTGACGATATATGCATCTAACAGAATTGTAAGATCCTTGCCGCTCTGTTTTATTAACAAATGCACATATATGATGTACATCACGTTATCATTTTATCTGTACTTTCTCTGTCTGTACTTTCTGTCTATCTGTACTTTCGTCGGTTCCCTCCAGTATTAAAATTACACTGCAAGTCATTAAAATTCCTACACCAGAAATGACAACAAATGGAAGAATCTTATTTTATTGTACATACTGGGACTCATAAAAAATACTGGGGATAAGAAACTTCCAAACATTTAGTGATTAAAATTTAACTATTACTCCAAAACTTAATCTATTGCATTGCTTTCTGTGTCTAAATACCATGCTAAATCTATTACGAATAATGTTGAATATAACTAATGAATAAATGAGATGTTTTAAGTACCCTGCTCTTATATATGAAATTAAAGTATTGAGCATTGTTGTACAAATGTTATGAAGAGCCAGTTCTAGCTGGCGTTTCTGGTAAAACACATGAAAGAAAGATTTTAAAACCTGGCAAAGATACAGTGTAAGATTTAGGAGCTATTCTATGGGTTAACTTGGCGCGAAGAAATTGAGACTTCTGATGCGAGAAAATTTACAATTTTTTATTGGAATTGTGAAAAGTCTGAGAAGAAATTAGCTGAACTATTGAATTTGAAATAATATCTATTGTTGAATTTAATTCTGAAATGTTGTAAAACAAATTTGCTTGAAAAAAAAAAAAAAAAAAAAAAAAAAAAAAAAAAAAAAAAAAAAACAAGAGAAAAATAAAAAAAATTCAAAAAACTGAAAGAGAAGAAATTAAAAATCTTTGGAAACGTTACTTAGAATCTTAGAAAGAAGTGAAGGAAAAAAAAAGAAAAAAACGAAAAAAGAAAAAAAAAAAAAGCTCCGCGAATAGAATAGATTAGGAATCGAAGAAATGCAGAAACTGTTAAAAATATTTTAAGAAAATTTAACGTTTTTGGCCGAATAGCTGGAAGAAAACTATTTCTCATTAATACGAATCGAAGAGCATGATTACATTTCACTAAGAACTGTATTAAAAAGCATCAAAATATTTGTAATTCGGCTATATTTGTAGATGAAAGTAAATTTAATATGTTGGCAGTGATTAAAACTATAATGAAAACCGAATACTGAACTTAGAGTGAAGAATCTTACTCCATCAGTAAAATATGGTGGATGTAGCCTAGTGGTCTTAGGCTGTATGAATGTCTGTAGCATTTAAATTCTATATTTTATTGATTGTAAAATTAATAATTTTCTGCATTTGAATACGTTTTGAAACACAGCTCACCAGAACTGGGCTTATTATCGTATTGAAACTTTATCAAAAACGGTGAAAGGAAGCAAATTGCTCATGTTTATCTATCCCATGTAATCAAAACGCTTTAATCCAGACTTCACTCCTCTTGAGCATATTTGGGATCATTTGCAAGATAAAATTAATTCAAATTTGTCTAGCTTGAAAAAAAATAAGGCAGAATTGAAAAAAGAAATGTACTTAGAGGAAAACTCACGATGTGAGAGGGAAAAACAGTAAATCTCAGTCAAAATTTTACGAAATCTCTGCCTAGAAGCCAGTGAATTCTTAAAAAAATGGAGGTCCAATGCATTATTAGAGCAGTTCTTATGGAGTTTCCTTTTTAATACGTTTGTGTGTCCCAATACATTTTTTTACCACTGCTTTCTCGTTTATACACGAAAGGCATAAAATTTTATTTATTAGCTAAATTTAAGATTTTCGACTTCGTTTATGTCTAAGGTATGGCACGTAATTAAGCATTTCTTTTATATTAAATATTGAATTATTCTTCCAAAAATGTCCGAAAACTTGTTCTCCACCAATTTTTTTTATTCATTTTGTGAGCTATGATAGACAAATGGAACCCTTCAGGGGTCCATATAACTCGTTTATACACGAAAGATGTAAAATTTTATTTATTAGCTAATTTTAAGATTTTCGACTTCGTTTATGTCTAAGGTATGGCACGTAATTAAGCATTTCTTTTATATTAAATATTGAATTATTTTTCCAAAAATAATGAAAACCCAAAAATAGTGAACCTAAAGCTTGTTCTTCTCCAATTTGTTTTACTCATTTTGTGAACTATAATGGAAGAAGACATGATTAAATTTGAAGGTCGTTCGAAATATATAGCAAGCAGAATTTAGTATCCAGAGTTGTCATTTCTGGAGGCAACAGTGGCCCTAATTCGGCTGGGCTTTCAGTCGAACTGAGCTTGGATGACAGATACGGGTACTTCATTCAATGCGGCTTCAAGTCTATGCCAGAGTTCATCAATTATAGTAGTTAGCAAATTCTGGCGTGGGAGTCTCTCGCAACCAATTAT